TGTGAAATGATGTTTTATCTTGTGTGAAATAAATCATTTAATCAGAAAATTTTAATAATTAGTGATTGCCAAATATATACATTGTTTCTAAAATGAGCCTTTGTTACATGGCTCGTAAAAAGCCGTGTGACATAATTTTGCATGCGACATGTGAAGTGTATACTAAGTTCATCTCGTGAGATGTATATTAACACACATAATTCATCATTTAATTGGTCAATTTATACAAAAAAGTTTGCTTAATACGGTCTATAAAAGAGTTGCCCTACAATTTTTTTTTCTAAATTACAAATGAATATGGTTTTATTAAATCTTTACAGATTCATCTCATGACTATAAATTTTACTATATTTCTTTACAATAGCAGTCAAAAGAAAACTATTGGTTCCCAATCAAACTAATTTTTTTTTCACGATTTCTGAAAACTAGTCAAAAATTCCATTCAATCCAAAATTGGTCACCAGTAAGGATGGATTCGACTACGAACGGTCATAGCCAATTTGCTAAATAATAAGATGATTTTTTGTTCTTGAACTTTTAATTAAAGTTGTTCAGAATTAAATTCTGGTTATCTCATATTATAAGTAGAAAGAACAATACCTTCTCTGAAACTCAGAATTTTAAGATTTATTAACGTTATAGCTGGTTAATAGTCAGCTATGACGTTAACAAATCTTAAAATTCCGAGTTCCAGAGAAGGTATTGTTCTTTCTACTTATAATATGGGATAACTAGAATTTAATTCCGAACAACTTTAATTAAAAGTTCAAGAACAAAAAATTATCTTATTATTTAGCAAATTGGCTATGACCGTTCATAGTCGAACTCATCCCTTGTCACTAGAAGAAGTTATTTTATTTTTCAAGAAGAAATTTGCTAAAAATTGGGAAATACCAAAAGAATTTGGATTTGAAGAACATGAAGTGACAGAAAATGTGTTGTTGGAATTAAAAACAGATGAACTTTATAAAGCAGGTTTACCACTTTTGGTTGCAAAAAAGTTTGAAACCTCTATTAAGGATCTTATTGAACTAATGACTTTTTGTATTCAAGTCTATTATGATGAAGGTGTAAAGTTTGAAAAATATACAATGTATAATGATGATGAATTTCATGACTTTTTGAAAACAATTAAAGTAAAGAGATTGGAATCTATTGATGATAATAGTAAGACTACAAAGGTTATCAGATCTTTAGAACATATTTGTTCTAATAAATATTATAGAATAAATGCATTCTATATTAAATGAGTTACCTGGCCAAAAAGTTGAAGATCAGGATCAGGCAATAGAACAAAAAACATTATTGGCTGTACAAAATGCTCTAATCAAAAAGTTCAAAGGACCTATAAAAATTTTTTTAATTTATGATTATTAGATATTTTTATGTGAAGCAAAACATAATATAATACTTGTAAGTATAAGTGAATCCTATTTAATAATAATTTTTATGAATCTGTTAAACAAATTCATTGATAATTTGATATTATTAGAATCACATAACCAATCTTGTTAGTCGATTAAAGGAATTTCAGATCTAGAATTCAAG